CACAGAACTAGAAAATGAAGTATAAATCCCCTAGTGTTTTTAAAAGTTTTTAAATGAAAGGCCATGAACCTAATATTGACCTTTACTCCAGAAACAATCTTTTTCTCCTTTTGTAAATATACACTAAACAAGACATAAACCGTCAAATATCTTCACAAATGCCACTGGGTGAGCTGGGCACACATCACAGGTTTCCTCAGGTACACAGGACTAGTAAGACCTAGTAAGATCTGGCCCAGCCAGCCCCTCCCACCCACAGAGCCACCTGTGCCTCCTCACAGGCTAAGCCCCAGAGAGCATCCCCTTGGGCCCCTTGTGTTCCCCACCCCTCCCCAGTCAAGCCTGTCCTGGTTTCTGTTTCAGTACGAACCTTCTTCACCCCAGTCTGCTACATCATCACTCCAGATCTGGGACTTACATGCTTTAGGAATCACTGGCCTTGCAAATCAGTTTTAGGCAGTTCCCTGGTTAATTACACCCGTCCCAGGTTCAAGGTTGTCCACACCATGCAATAGCCACTTCTAGAATTCTTTAATGGAATGATGCTGAGATGACAGACCTGAGGATTTCTTCAGCAGGGACCATGCTGCACAGGGAAGAGGGTTCTGACAGGGTGAGCAACTCCTCGAAGCTGCGGGCATGATGGTATCAGGGAGGCACATGCCTGCCTGGTGTTTAAAGGCTCCTGTTCACCTCCCCTCACTTCTCTCCTCTTTAGTCTCTGCCAGATCTCTCCTTCCCGGCCTCCCTGGCTGCGCAGCACTTCCTGCTGGAGGAAGAAAGGCGGGCCAAGGAGCTTGAGAAACTGCTAAACACGCACATCGATGAGCTGCAGAGACACACCGAGTTCACACTCAATAAATACACCAAACTGAAGCACAACAGACACATGTGAGCTGTCAGCCTCTTTTATCCGCCCCCCCCCCCACACACACACAGAGCTGTGGCAAAATATTTGCAAAGCTGATTCGTGAAACTGGGAAATTTTGTTGTCTTGAGTAAATCATTTCTCATTGGCTAGAAAATCGCAGTACGTTGGATAAAGCTGCCTGTGTTCCTGCATTCCATGTACCGAATTGCTATTAGTATAGAAAACATGTAACCACCCAAAGAGGGTTTCTGTTTTCCAAGTTATGGAATGGTTTGGAATTAAAAATGCATCCTCTTCTGACTTGAATCATGTCTGTCAAAGTCTCAACTCCCCAGCAACAGGAAACAAGGGAACGGGCAGAGCCAACTTCAAACCATGGAAGCCAAGCGGCCGCACTGTGCTGAGCGCAAAACTCAAGGACTTGTTAAAATGAGAAACATTTAGATTTGTCGGACTACGTAAACTACCTTAAGATTTGTTTTAGGAAAAAACAGCCTTTACCATTTTTATATTCATCTTTATGTCTCTCTCCCATAAGACTGTGAAGGACACAGATGGACCACATGCTCAGGGAAATCCCTGTGCCTGAAAGGGATGCTGTGCTGCAGCACCAACGCCTTCATGGACATGAGCAAGACACAAAAATCAGAGTGCCACTCCCGCCCCAGTCTCCTTTATAATCACCCGTTTATAATAAAGGAATGCAAAATTCAGTGTTCTTACAACAGTGTCCAGTGTGTACAGAAGTTAATAACATGGTAATAAACAATAAAATTCGTTATAAATGTACAGGAATGATAATCCAGTATTCTTTCTTTAAAAATGGGGTACAGACTGACAAGATGGCTCAGTGGTTAAAAGCCTGACTGTTCTTGCATAGGGCCTGGGTTTAGTTCCCAGCACCCACAGAATGGTAATAGTCGTCTGTAACTCCAGTTATAAGGGATCTGATGCCCTCTTCTGGCCTCTTTGGGCATTGCATGCATGTGCTGCACTTAAATGCAGGCAAAACACTCATAAACATTAAATGAATCAAAAATAATTAATGGGACACACACCACTATATCCAACTGTATAGAGACTGAGAAACTCGAGGCGGGTCTGCAGTTTTCTTCTTTTTTTCCTTGCGCAGGGGCAGCAGCTTTCTTCTTTTTAAAGAAACAGTATCAACATACTGAAAGAAACCCTGATGTCCTCAGCTAACAAGTTTGTTTCCCTGTGGAAACTGCAAAACAGCATCCAACTTGGATGACCTGAGCACATGTCCTTGGGTGGCATAACTATGTGGTTTATGTAGCTCTCGATGTTTCAAAAAGCCTTCTGTTGTAGTTCAGGCTCCTAGAACAAAAATCCTACATGCTGTGGGGCTTAAACATTTTCTGGTGGCAGAGATGTCCAAGACCCAGGCACCAGCTGATTAGGGTCCAGTGACAGCCTAGTTCCTGGCTTGGGGACAGTCCTTTTCATGGTTCTTCTTCAGAGGGTGCTAATAATCTACATCCATGGACTGGACCCCGTGAGCTGATTCCTCCCTGAAGACCCCACACTTAATGCCAGCTCACTGAGGTTTGGGAGCTCAACATACATATTTAGTGGGGGGGGCATTTATTACATATAATCTCACATAGAGGGCTGGAGAGATGGCTCAGTAGGTAAAGTGCTTGCCTTGCAAACATGAGGATCTGAGTGTGATCACCAGAATCCCTGTAAAACATGCCAGGCATGGTGGTGTGTGTTTGTAATCCCAGATCTGGAGAGACAAGACAGGTAGATCCCTGGTTTCACAGGCCAGCCACCTTAGCCTAACTGTCCAGCAGACTGATGAGAGATTGTCTCAACAAAATGGAAGGTACTTGAGGAATGACATATGAGGTTACCCTCTGACCTACACACAAACACACATACACAGATACATGTGAACAGATGTGTGCATGCAAACATACAAAATTCTCAGCACTATTAAACTAAAAACAAGTCTTTAACGGGGGACTGGAGAGACGGCTTCATAGGTAAGAGTCCTTGCTGTTCAATCATGAGAACCTAAACTTGGGTCCCAACACCCACAAAAAGAGATGGTGTTCACCTTAACCCCAGTGCTGTGTGGCAGAGATGGGGCTGGCCTGGGCTTGCTGGCTGCCAGCCTAGGTCTAGGTTCAGTGAGAGACACTGTCGCAAGGGAATAAGGTGCAGCGTAATAGAGTAGGACACCTGGTATTGTGCTCTGACGTCCATGCACATGGATGCATGCCATGCATGTGTGTATACACCACACTCACACATGCATACACATGCAAAAATAAATAAAAGCTAATATCTTTGTCCCTATGAGCCAGGGCTGCTGGGAATTGTAAGCAGAATGGTGTGAAGCAGGGCTCGAGCTTTCTGCCTCCGGGACCCGTCTTTACTGCCAGTGTCACGACTATAAGGCAGACGGGGAATAAAGATACGCTCAAACATCAGAAGGGGCCCAGCACCCTCAGTGTGCCCACAAAAGCTCCGCACGAGGAAAGTTGTAGGACTCATGGTTCTTTTCAGTCATTTGCTAGTTTCTAGTCTGGACACAATTAAAATGCAGCATTTATTTAGCATACATGAGGCCTCAAGAGAGATCTCCTGCACTGAAAAACAAAAACAACCCAAAAATCCCCAGCAAATACAGAAAGAAAAGAAAACGTTTTCAGTGTATCTTCAGATGAGAAGCGATAATACGTTTGGAAATGGCACTCCACAAACAAGTTCTAAAACCTTTATGCCCCTAATACATGGAAACAAGGGAAAAGCCTAAGCACTCCCACCATCCCCGAAGTCTAGTGCCATTTGAGTCCTTCAGGGTAACCTCATAGTGAGCCTTGTTCACTGCAGTTAAGATCCACGCTACAGCCTTCTTAGGACTTAACAGTCAAGAGCATGATGCAGCGTGGGACCTGCAGTAAGGGGGGTGCCCCTGTGCGTGGGTACCTCAAATCCCTGAGCGGACTTGCTTAAATCACTACTTCAGCCCTCCAGTTACTATCAGCTCTCTGAAAATCCTGGTTTTCCTTAGTTTTTTGCTTAACAGCAAGAGATAAAACTTACTTTGACTCTGCGTGCTTCGCATAAGAATGAACGAGGCTGCCGAGATGGCTCAGCAGTTAAGCCATATGCTGCACAAATTCGCAACCTGAACCAAGAACCTTCCACATAAAGGTGGAAGGAGAAAACCAACTCCACAAAGTTATCCTCTGGCCTCTCCACATTTGCATTATGTCATGTGCAAACCACAACACACACACACACACACACACACACACACACACACACAGAATAATTTTGAAAAGAGGAATTAAGCTTCCCAACCAATCAATATATCTTTCTTCAGGTCTTAATCTGCTTGGGTTACTATAACAAAATGCTTTAGCCCAGATAATAGATAAACAACAGAAGTCCATTGCTGACAGTTTTAGAGGCTGGGAAGTCCATCAAGACGTTGGCAGATTAGGGGTCCAGTAAAGGTATCCTCATAGGTGGCTCAAAACAAGAACCCTTGGACCTCTTTGATAAGGGTTCACCCCTCAGCACCACTGCCTCCAATCCTTCTAATTATGCAATCAAATCACTTCCTAACCACTCCCCTTCTTAATGCCCTGACACTAAGTATTCGATTTCAATGCAGTTGGAGGCACAAGGCTTCTGACCACAGCATTTGCCTGAGGATTTCAAGATAGGACCAAATAGCCTATGCTGAGTAGTTGAGGGATGTGCAACAGACATTTGTCATGAAAGTTGATAACTAAAGTAGCAACACAGAGACATACCGAGCTGTCCCACTGGCTCACTTTCTTCTGGTTTTGTTTATGAAAAGCAAACACTCAGCTTCCAAATTCCTCTTTTTCCTCAGCTTGAGGAAAATCTCCTGAAAGTGTTGACTTAGCCTCAAAGCTATTCTAACCCTGAACATCTTCAGTCTTTCCCAAGTGATTTTAATGGTAAATTACAAGGAGTCAAACTGAGACAGTTCTTTGACTTTGAATGTGTTTGGGACAAACAAAGCTTAATTTATAACCAAAGTTTTTACACTAACTAAAATGTCACCCAAGAATTTTGGAAGAGTGAGTATCCACCTGTATATGTGTGTGTTCCTGTTAAATATACATAAAACTGAAAATCATCATTAACAAAACAGTCAAGAGTAGTTTCAGAGCTTGGAAAACAAACACATACTGTCCAGTCACTATATTGAAATTATGTTACTTAAGAAAAAAGATTTAATAGTTGTGATCATCCATCTTCATTGTCAACTGGATTTGGAATCCAAGACAGACCCTTGAGCATGTCTCTGAGTGTGTTTCTAGAGAGGTTTAACTAAGGTGGGAAGATCTGCCCTGAGTGTGGATGGCACCGTCACCTGGGCTGGGATCCTGGGCTGCATAAAAAGAAGAAAGTAAGGCCGGGCATGGTGGCACACATCTTTAATCCCAGCACTTGGGAGGCAGAGGCAGGTGGATCTCTGTGAGTTTAAGGCCAGCCTGGTCTACACAGTGAGTTCCAGGACAGCTGGGGCTACAGGGAGACCCTGTCTCAAAAAGACCAAAAAACAAAAGAGGAGAAAGCAGTCAATCACCAGCATTCAGCGCTCTCGGCTCCTGACTGTGGACACAGCGTGACCAGCACAGCAGCCTTATGCTCCAGCTGCCCTGCTTTTCCACATCCTGATGAGCCATAGACCCTCAAACCACGAGTCAAAATCAACCTTTCCTGGCTCAGGTTGTTTTTGTCAGATATATTGTCACTGCGATGAGACAAGTAACTTACACAATAGCCGAACATCACAGCTTCATTCTGGAGAGATGCACAGTTTATCGAAGACATTGATAGATCTGTGTTCTTACCGCACTGGAGGTCTGTGGCCTTCATTATGCAATGCCACGTTATGGTAACACTTGAATAAAAACGACCTGATTCTTTGCATTCATTTTAGCAAGATGAACAGCACTGTTCCCACAGGTCACTCCCAGAACTGTGCTTCCCGAACAAGAGACATGGACTCTCTTTTACTCGGTCTATCCACCGTGAAACGGGGACGGGGAAAAGCAGAAAGATTCATCTTGTCAGGAAATCTGCCTGCCCGCCAGGTCTGACCCTACTGACCTAGAATAGCACACACAACCACAAACAGACACTATCAATTTAATCCCTGTTGTTTGCAACATAATGGGATAGTTTTCATTGCAGCCAATGAATATGCAAAACACACCCTCATATCCATAGTTGTTTTGGGTCAAGGGCAAGGATGAGTCATGGGGCATTAAGCTATATTCCCAGGTTGCAAGAGGAGCCTAAGGTTTAGCGAGCTTGTCTATATCATAAACAAGAAAAGATTAACTTTTTGGTTGCAAGGTTAGGTAAAAGTCATTGCTGCAGCGGTTCATCCTACAGAGATCTAGTGATAGTCTATCCCAGGTTACCAAGGTTCATCCTACAGAGATCTAGGGATAGTCTATCCCAGGTTACTGTGGTTCCTCCTACAGAGATCTACAGATAACCTACCCTAGGTCAGTACTGGCCAGGTGATAAACTCCAAACCCAAATTTGAGCAACATTTCTCAGATTTATGTTCACTGATCGACAGTGAATATATGTATTATGCTACTTAATCACCAACAAACAAATTTCATACTCTTAAAAGACCACCTTGAGCTGTCAGGCATTTGCAC